CCCCCCCCCCCCCCCCCCCCCCCCCCCCCCCCCCCCCCCCCCCCCCCCCCCCCCCCCCACCCCCCCCCCCCCCCCCCCCACCCCCCCCCCCCCCCCCCCCCCCCCCCCCCCCCCCCCCCCCCCCCCCCCCCCCCCCCCCCCCCCCCCCCCCCCCCCCCCCCCCCCCCCCCCCCCCCCCCCCCCCCCCCCCCCCCCCCCCCCCCCCCCCATTGGAAAATCCTGGATCCGCGCCTGTTATAAGGCCCTATAATCTATACCATTATAACCCGGAACATACTGCCAGGTTTAAATACATAACAGTTTGAAACTAGACAGATAAATCCGTCCGCTAATTGGCATATGGTAGATTAACAGATTTTGAAGGATTAAACCGCCACCGGTTAAAAATATAGCGTCATAATGATATCCCCGAACGAAATAGACTAATTTTCGGTCTAGTTCGAAACTTACGGTACACAGAATTTGCAAGGACGAGTTGACTGAGATTCATTTGATCATCAGCGAAGTAAATGTTTGTGGAAGGAAGCCGTTTCTGTTCATCCCTCAGAAGTTGGAACTATTTAAGAGACAGCTTTGCTAGTTTCTATAATACAATTTATTGTAAGTATATGTTGTGTGAATGTGTGTGATTTCTGTACATAGTGATGTCATTTTATCTTTAATTTGATCCTTAATTTCTTCCTGTTTTCATACTCGATCGCAGCTCCTCTTTCATTTTCAGCCTGCACTGCTACCAGTATACACCTTAGCTTAGCGGTCCTATCGGTAGTGGTAGCGCAGAACTTCCCCACGCCCATTCATGCAATCTTCGGTCGACTGCAGCTGTGTGGTGTAAACACGATTTGCATGTTATGATTTATGAACTGATGATGATACAGAGAGAGTGGAATAGAAAAATAGAAATCCAAATGAAATAGGCCCATGGATCTTTTAATAATTGAACATGTTGGGTTGAATATGCCAGTCTCTAACTAGTTACATCTTCTGTTCTAATCTACATCAGACATGTAGTTCTGGTCATGCAATAGACCGAAAGCTTCAGTCTCTCTAATCGTCGGTTGTTCCACTGAGACTACGTCTGGCTCCACTAGACCTCCGATTACAGAGACTGAAGTCTGGGGACCTCTTTCTGTGAGGCACTGTACGGAACAAATGGTTCGGTTCGACCGGACCGTGATGAATGAGATATGCAACGAGATTTTCACTCTTTACATCCTCATATAGCCTTAAGGGCTCTCTCGAAATGTTTTTTAATGATATTATTCGAGAGAGCCTTAAACGGCTCTCCTGCACGGAGAGGCATGTAAACAAAACTCAAAAGTGGTCCAAAATCACACTTTCGCGCACCCGACCAATATTGGACAGTGGCTTTGATAAATTTTGTCGTAGTTTTGGTCTTAATTAGCGCTTTAATTTCAAAATCGGATCTAAAAATAACAAAATAAGAGCAATTTTCTTACCAGACCGATACAGCTCAGCTCCCTTTTCACGTGTACCGTGTGAATTCACGATGTCTACACAATGGTGATGACCTCTGACTAGCACTTCGTAAATGTGCTGCTTCCGTATAATGCGCTGAATAACACTCATACAGCGCATTATACGGAAGCAGCACAATTTACCCACAATTACGGAAGTGCCAGTCAGAGGTCATCACCATTGTGTAGACATCGTGAATTCACACGGTACACGTGAAAAGGGAGCTGAGCTGTATCGGTCTGGTAAGAAAATTGCTCTTATTTTGTTATTTTTAGATCCGATTTTGAAATTAAAGTGCTAATTAAGACCAAAACTACAACAAAATTTATCAAAGCCACTGTCCAATATTGGTCGGGTGCGCGAAAGTGTGATTTTGGACCACTTTTGAGTTTTGTTTACATGCCTCTCCGTGCAGGGGTATGGGAGCCGTTTAAGGCTCTCTCGAATAATATCATTAAAAAAACATTTCGAGAGAGCCCTTAAGGCTATTCTCATAACTGCTGCAATTATAACACAAATTAAAAATAACATATATATAGCTTATTTGACTTACGATAGCTTGCTCATTTAGATCCTAAATTAATGATTAATCCGAGAAAGTCTCGTCGTCAACATTATCCGTCTTGGTGTTAGTTGATGAATATTCATTTTTTCTTTTCGAACGTCCAATAGCTACCGTAGCTACGTACGAGTAAGCCCAGCTTGACCAACGAACTCCCACGAAACGAGTGCTCTGATTGGCCATTTGGCTATGTTTTGGTAGGTTGACCCGGAAATATTTTGGCCGCCGGGTCGTATAGCCCTATGTTCCGAGTGCATGAACGTTCGGAGATACAAATTGGATAATTCATATAAGTAAGTCCGTAAATTATCAATTTAATATTGAGTTATCAAATTTTGATAACTGTAATTAGAACAAATGACATACCGACCTAATTTACATGTACATCTGATTTAGAAATCAGGAAATTAGATCTAAATAAAGAAAATCGGGGAGAAAATGTCGTGGACGAAAATATGTACATAACATAGCCATCCCCACGGTACGAGATCTCTGGGTTGCCATCTGTATTGGGGAATGACAACAAATGTCAGTTTTATTAAAGAAATGACCCAAATCAGATGGTTATTGCTGTCTAGTCATGCAATTGCATCGTGAAAGAAAAGGTGTGGAATGGATCAGAAAAAAGTTGATCATGCATTAAGTATTGGTGTGTACTGCAAGGTTCTGGATTCATCAAAATCATAATAAATTTGGCCCAGTCTTGGTAAGTAACAAGCACTGTACACAGAAAGACGAACATGGGAATACAGGGCTTAAATTAATCCAAGGGCAAGGCCACCACACATGGCCTTGGAGTGGATGCCCTTTTGATTGGCCATAATGCCCCTCTCATTGGCCTTGGAGATTTTGTGTGCCCTTTCCAATTCTTATTTGTGCTGTAATATAGGAATGTGCCCTACAGAAAAGTGGCCTTGCCCTAAAAATATTGAAATTTAAGGCCTGGGACTACACAAATGGTGTCAGGGCACTTTTATGGGTTGTCTGTCTCCCCAAGGATTTATTGCTCATAATGTGAAGGTCTCTGTACAAAGTAAGTCGATGTAAAATGCATCAAGAAAATCATTGCCGAATCCGTTTTTTTCATCACCAATGCGTTAATCAAAAATATGAAACATCTGCGAAAATGCAGACGGTCCTTATTTTTTAGGACGCATCGTTATACATTTTCTACCAAAATTGTATGACAAATGACATTTATTTGTAATCTTGAACATTCAGCGTAACTTTTGTTTGATTCTGTGAGAATTCATTTTCTTTCTTTTTTACCAGAACTCAAGTTTATCTTTAAATCAAAGTTTAAATTGTAAAGTTAATCATGCAAAGGTGAAAGAGGCCAGGCATAATTGAGTGGGCCTACTGTATATCTGCAAGAATCTTCAGTATTGAAGGCTCAGGCAGATTATCTTGAAGAAGAAGAAGAAGAAGAAAAGATAAAACATTTTTTTTCTTTTTTTCAATGACCTAACAAGCGCAATCTCCTCATCTTCTTTGCTCATTACTCGTACATGTATTTCTATGGAACGCATTTTGCATACAGAAACTGTATGGTCTATATTGGTCCAGCCATTGTCAATTACATTTTGTAAGATCATTTGACGTTTAAAGTTTAAAGTTTAAAAACACAAAAAAAAATCCTTCAGCATGGAATGCAGGCTGATCTGTACATGTTAAATAAACAAAAAATCTAATTTTAAAGGGGAAAAAAATCCTAAGAGAAGAGGCGTAAATATTCACTTCTGAATGACAAACGCCTATAAACCAAAACAACAACAACAACAACAAGTACAGGTACAGTATGTACTGTACAGTATGTACTTTCAACAAGCCATGCTGATAACATACTGCATATGCTCCACATGTATACAATGTACATGCTTTAGCTGCTTATTTGACACAGCCAGAGACCTGAACTACATCTACATATTATGTAGGCTCTTCCCAAGGCTTTCGGATATGCAGTAAAGTGTTGAACTAGAGTCTGCGCATGCAGACTAGATGTACATGTACATGTATGTGTGTACCCTGCCCCCATTGCATACAGAATGTAGCAATGTGGGCTGATGATATATCCATCTAATTTTAAACTGAATTCCCCTTAGAGAGTTAGAATGGGTTTACCAGCCTTTAGTCCAACTTGCTGAAATATGAAGGCCTACTACTGACCAACTGGTATTCCTTTTCACAATTGAAACATGATTGTTAGTATTAGACCCTACAGTACATGTATGTATAACCATTGATTGAAGCAGGGTAAAACAAAGACAAAACAAACTATTCAAGGGTTACTCCTGATCAAAACTAAATTTGACATGTACAGTACATGCAGTTCCAGATTAATCTCATCCTTAAAAACTCATTACATGTAGTTGTTAATTGTTGAATATCTTATGTACTTGTCTTGTACTAGGGTATCTGTGGCTGATTGTTCAATTGATGTATACTAAAAACTAATAGTACTCTCACTACTTTGTTATTGCAATGACGACCTTCGCATTTTACATCACGTGTTTCGATAGGATTATCATAGAAAAAAGAGAGTAGTTTGAAATAACCATGAAATTCTCTTTCTAATGATACCAAATATGGCCCATAAAGAGACGTAAAGAGAGAAAAAACAATTGAACTCCGGTCATAATACAGATCCTATACGTTTTCCGCCCATGCATTACACGCATTGTCTATGGGGCATATCGGGTTCACGCTTTTGGCCCCCAGAACGATGTTGATTGCAATGACGAACATGCACCAAATCCCATTGGTTTTTGCACGCAGTGCTTGCGAGCCCTTTCCAGGTTCTTTTCCCTATCCCAATTTCTTTCAACCTTCGTAGGCATAGTCACTACCATCCCATCAAGGTCACTGTTGAGGCCTTTCTTTCGCCCTACCTATCTCCAATATCACAGAAGCTATAGACTTTGTACAAATTGCTCTGGATAATCCGGGAGAAGCTCTTTCGTTTGACACGTAGAAACATGGCGTCATTGCACGCACATCGTTGTGACACGATTGCATTTCTAGTCAAAGTTTGTTACTGTTTTGCTGGCTGACAGTGGTTGTACATCTTGTTCATAAAACATGGATATTCAATTACTTTTTTATTTTTATGGTGACAATTTTTTTTTTGTAACTGTATTGATAGAGTGTGCATTTATTCAGTTATAAATTATAGCAACTTTCAATTAGTTTTTGTATTTTATTTTGTTTTGTTTCCTTTTGTTTAAGAAAAAAAAAATGCTTTCATTATTCAGTGTCCTATATTTTGCATGTAAAGGTTTCCACTATCCAGTAGTCCTGCGCTAGTACAGTACATGTATTATTTATAGGACTGTTATGAACAGGAGTTACCAAGCATGGGGGTACATATTCATTGTATACGTTCCCCTACATGTGTTTGGAACTACGCCTTTCATCAAATTATGAAGAAAGTACTTCCTTTCACACCCTGACACCACTGATGCTTATTTTCCTTTATTTCTCCACCCCCTCCAGATTTGACCTTTAACCCTTGACTTGACCTGTGGAGTGTCATGGGGTCAAAGTATGACAAGGAGCCCTGTTGTGGGATCTCACTGCTGAAGTATGTTCTCTTCATCTTCAATTTCTTCCTCCTGGTAAGTCTTCCTTTTCATCAACTTGAACATGCCGTCTGTTAGAAGGGCGTTGAAGCTAATCTTTCAGATTATCATTAATTGTTCATCTAGCACTACCTTGACTAAAGCAGCATTTTTTCTCATCTGAACTATGTTATAGAGTCCCTTTAACTTAGCAAGATGTGGTAACAAATATTTCTCAAATTCAGAATTTACATGCAAGGAAAATGTGTCCTTTTACGGTACGTAAATATATTCTCAATTTCCCCCCTTATCACTTATCACTTTTGAGGTAAACTTACCGGTAGTTTTTTTCCTGTAAATTTTATAAGAATATTGATGAATTTGGTATATCAGTTTGTAGAAAAAAATAGTGTTCTTCAAGAAAATTATGATTATTTTGTTTGGTCTGTTTTTTTGTGTGTCTTTTTTTCCCTCTATGAAATGTCAAAGTTGTGGGGGTGCGGCCTACATGTACATGCGGCGCTGCGGCAAATATGGTAATGTACAGAAGGTTGTACATGTACAATATATGTACATGTATATTAGGCCTACATTGTCCAATATGAATCACTGCAAATACCAAGAGGCCCTAATCATATCAATGAAATGAAACCTGAAATCTGAAGCCAAGGTTATTATATTGGCAGAGCATGAGTCATTGTTGTTAATGAGTGGATGACTGGTCCACCGGCCAGGCCAGGGCATGGCAGAGTGGGTCATCTCAGGACAAAGCATTGTAATGCAATGAGTGTGTGAGCCTGTAAATGTCATGGGCTTGTGTTCTGTAATAATGTATTGGAGTCTTCCGTACTGGTAGAGTAGTAGTCTGTATTCACAAACACCTTGTCAGTTCTATAGGGTCTGACTATACTGCAACTCACAGCGCCAGCATTTCAGTGTATCCACAGTTTATAGTCCACTGCCTGGACTGTCTTGTGCTGCGCGCCCAATCAGCTGAGGTTATAATACACCCTCATCGCTGAACCGGAGACAGTCCTTTCTTTCTTTTATTTTTTGATTAGTGGGGACACAGCACTATGGGCCATCTACGACTTCTTTTGGACAACTGCACGTAAACGAATGGACTTGATTATAATGGTCATCAGTGCGGGCTAGCGTTCGCTTAACAGACCAAAGTTCTTCTCATGCTTCGGTTTCCTCGTACACTGTATGTTGCACGCACGAATACTGCGGTTGTGTCGTCCGTAGTCGTATTATAAAGTACAAGTTCGCCGACAATCCACTGAAATGCATTTAGCACGCATTTCAATGGGATGTCGGTGAACTTAAATGAATGTTTCATGAACCAATACCCATATTTTTAAAAATTATTATTATTATTATTATTATTATTTTTTTTTTTTTTGGGGGGGGGGGGGGGAAGGGGGACCGTGTCAAAACTCGAAATGAAAATGTGCATTTTAACTACATTTACCTGTAGACTATATGTACATGTAGTACATGGTAGTGATTGAAAGAGGAGGGGGTCATATGAAGGAAAGCTGGAATGTCAAATATTGCAAGCAAAAATTCATAGAGGTTTTGGCTTGAGGCCACTATTTGTGTTTTAAATACTATGAGCAGACATGCCCAAATCTCTCGTAAAAACGTTACATTCATGGTGATCTTCTAAGTATCTTTTCTTTATAATAGGCCTCTACTTGTAGTTGTACATGTACATGTACATGTACAATGTACCTCATCCAAAAAATTATTAAATTAGTGTAATTATTAGGAGGTTAGCCAGGCTAAATCAAATTTCTTCATTATGTGGCCTTCGCTATAGCTTACACTGCACAGCACATCTCTTTTCCCCTTTGCTCCGTGCATATAATGTGTATGATATGATATCACAACACCAATCATAATGTACATACTGTACGTATGTAGTCTTGCAGCACAGCAGTGTTATGATTAATTATGGGGGGGGGGGGGAGGCGGAGGTTATTGGGAAGTCTTTTCCACTGCCTATAGTGTTATAAATTATAAAAAGCTAAGTTTACATTCACATCCAATCACACGCTTGCTGCAGTTATACACAATTACACATGCAATGAGAAAGTGAATTTGTGAGGAAAGATGGAATACACAGCTGTACAGGTGGGTCAGGGTGCTGGCAAATACTTATAAATAAAGGGTAAAAGATTTAATTTTAAAAACATCCAGAATCTGGTCTCCGGAAATCTTTGGACAAATGCTTTAAAAAGAAAAAAAATCTAGATTTTTTTTTCAGTAAACAAGACATTTGTTTTCTGTAAATGAGATAATTTTTTTCTTCTGAGGCACATTGTCAGGCTATCAAGCAGTTGCAGTACTTCATATAAATTATACATGTACGCTGGATTAGGCCATGAAAAAAATATACATGTTAGTGTCCCCACCTGCTTCCTTTTTGGGGGCCGCCTCCTTTTTTTTCTTTCTTTTTTCTAATATGCTAAAATGGATCTATTTCTGATTTAAAAAAAAAAAAAAATGCTGGCGTCCATCTTGAAAAATAACCCGACTGTCAGGGAAAATGTACCGAGCGGCCATTTTGAGCGGCCATTTTGAGCGGCCATTTTGAAAGAAAAAAAAGGGCCTCCTTCCTATTTTTCAAAAAGGTAGGACGCTCAACTGTTGGCCTAATGTATGGAAAGTGAAATGATGCTCAAGTCCATGTTAATTGGGTCTGTTATTGAAGACTAGTTAGTTGACCAGCCAGCCAGCATACCATGGATAGCTGACTGCCTGCCCAAATCAGGTGTCAACATCAGTCTTGTTATCTCAGCAGGGAAAGAACGGAGGAGAGTCTATTCTTAGGACAGCTGCGTCTGATGCAAGTGCAAGGCAAAATATGAATTATGATAATAATGGGAAATACCTTAATAGGTGTATCAGCTTCAGTACTGAAACAACATGATGTCTTGATGTACTGTATGGTGTAGTTATGTACACCTGTACATGTACAGTTATAAACAACTAAATTATCCATACCCTTACAAAGTTTTGTGATTGTTGAAATATGTGAACAAATGATTTGTCCTGGTTTATGTTTCTTGAGCATGTGACATATTAAAGCTTTCATCTTTCATTCTTGAGGTATGAAAAACACAAAAAACATCTAATTTTCAAGGGGTATGAATAATTTAGTTGTTAACTGTCTGTACAGTGTACATCTACATTAATATTTGCTCTCCTTTCTCTTTTTCCCATTCTCAATCACCTCCTCTATCTCCTTGTCTTCCTTACCTACATTTATTTGAAAATCTCTTCCTTATTTGGGCCATTCCATGAGAAGAAGGACATGACATCAAAAAAAGAAATGTACCTCTTATGTTAATTCTTTGATTTATCACTAACCTTATGCCATGGATGTTCATAAAACATTAGGGCCTTTCAAATTCAATACAATTTTTTTTTCATTTTTGTTGATTTCCTAAGATCTCAAACTATCATCAAAAACGTACATGTGGGACTGTAGCTGGAAAAAAAACCAATTTATTGCAGATTACACAGGATTCTTGTAATATTTTTTCCTGAAAATTTCGCTAAATGGAAAAAGATGAATTTATTTCCATATTCTAAGGGGTCCTGTGGTATTTAATCTATTACATAGGGGTGAAAATGGCCTCCGGACAAAATGTAACGCGAGTTACCGTAACGTGAGTTACCAACATATTTGCTTCCTGCATTTTACTAGTCCATTGTTTCTTATCTTTAATATTGTGATCTTATACTAGTAAGTCACAACCTACTATCAAATTAAAGTAGGAAAGATTTTGTCAAGATTGTCTAGTATGAGGAGAAAAGAGGGTCTCCTGGAATTGACCATGTCCTTTTTTTGTAACGCGAGTTACCGAAATTCAATAATCCAAGAATCTAAAAATGTTTGTTCTTCAATTTTCTTTTTTGTTTCATTCAGTTGTTCTATATCTACCCTGTCCATGTTTGAAAAAAGTATCTTGTAGATCCTAGCAGTTCTAAAGATATAGGCACATTATCGTGTCAATGTACCCATTAAGTGTAACGCGAGTTACAATGGAATGGCCCATTTTCTTTCTTGGAATGGTTTTCTCTCATCACCCTAACAACAATAAAAGTACCAGTAGCTAGCCTCCATATGAATCCCCTCCCATAGCAATAGACCAGGTTACTATTGCATGGATGTTTCTTTCCTTGCATGGGGCCTACAGTACATGCAGTGACAGTTAAAGAGGGAATAACTTGACATTGATGAATGAAGTGCAATGTGGAATCCAGTCTTGCTATGTCGGGCAACCCCCCTCTTGCTGTCGAGAACAACTTCAGTAGGCATGAAATTAAATGTTGATAAACCGGTCAATTGTTACATAGTACATTTGTTGCTCCCTTTCCTCCTCGTTTCCTCCTCTGAATGATTTTTTTTTATCCCCTTCTCTTTTTTTTTGTTCCTTCCTTCCCTCTCTTTTCTTTCTCCTCTTCAAATTTGGCCCTTATTCTAGTGGATAAGTAGTTGAACCAGGGAGGTGAGACTTTAAATGGAGATTCCGTCTCGAAAGAATTTCCCGAGGGAAAGATATTCAAGATTAACTTGGCTTAACAACAAGTAATGTAACCCTCTTCAGCCATCAAATCCATCAACAGCCGCCCTTATCAGACCACAGATGCCCTCTGGCGATCCAAATGTTACGAAGTGTTACGCAACGCGGCCTGCTTCCCTAAGCTCTTCAAACACTTGGTCGTAAAAAAAAGGCTTTGAAGCCATGCGAGTCACCGAGAAAATGACGTCATACTCATTGAAGATGTATATAGCTATAACAGACAAAAATACAAAATCGACAACTTATGGCACAAGGCAACCTGCTATTGGTTATCAAATGCTTTCGCTGTGCTCGGATAACTCTTCTGAAGACGTAGCCATCTGAACCAGCGAAATCGACCAAGGAAATCGTGAGTTAGAGTGAATGCAAGTTTCTCATCATCATCACGTTCTCTTCTAATTATTGACATTTTCCGAAAGTTTCCGAAATTTTTACATAGCTAGGAAGGTAGTCCATAAGTTTATCTCTTAAAATAACTAAATGAAACTGTGTTGTATAATTGCGCATTTGGTTTAATGAGGGTTAGAAGTTGTCAATTCATCACCACTTTTCACCCCGAGTACGGGCCGGCGACGCGAAAGCCGCCGTGCTCGCTGGGCTGTACATGCTGGATGTTGTTGGTGGAAACACACATAGCTGCATTTCTACCCTGGCCGTGTATTGAAAGTTGTGCTATTGATTCTCAACATTTCAAACACCACTGTACAAAACTCAACTGATTTCATTCAAAGGCAGTACTATAGTGACGATTGATGACACCTAAAGAGCATTAAAATACAATTTGTTCAACTTTCTGATGTTAGAAAGAATAATTTAAAAATTAAAATTGTGAGTCTACTGTCAAACTTGCCGATCAACCGCATCGGGATGATTATGTGCATTTGTACTGTATGTTGTGAGTGTATTGACTATTCATGTATTCAAATGCTGCCTATTTACATGGAGCGGCCTACGCATTCACGATGAAACCATTTAACCGTACATTCTGGTTCGCTGCAACGAATAAGATTTTCCGTTGATGGAATTTCACACGTGCATAACTTGTATTGGTCTCCAACTTCCCATACACCAGGCTCAAGAAAATCTTCCTCAAAATCAGTCAGAAAGTCTAAATCGTCGCCTACCAAATACTCTTCCCTACTGTACGCCGCCATTTTTGTCGATAGCAGCCGATGTGTATTTCCAACAATGCATTTCGCGAGCCCTATGTCACTCAGTTTCGGGAGTGAGATTTACGAGCTGTGCGGTCCGGGTGGGGGATTAACGGGATTATGATAGGGGGAAAAAAGACTCTCGGTGCAACGGACTGCTTCAAAGGGCCCTCTTAGATGCGGAATCCATTTATTACAAGCCCTGGTTGAACTGTGGATCACAGTGTCCGTGGTTCGAGTCCCGCCACGGCACTAATGTCCTTTGGCAAGATATTAATCTACATTTGCCACTCTCCACCCAGGTGTTAAATGGGTACCAGTAGGAAGGAATTCTTTGAATGCTGTGAGCGCCGAAATTGGCAGCCTAGCAGACTAGCAGAGCAGGGTAATATTCAGAGTGCCTTGAGCACCTTGCATGGTGGATATGTGCGCTATATGAATATCCGATATTATTATTATTATTATGATACCTCTCAATGCAACCCCATTCCGTCCCCCATCTTATCGTCCATTCTGACTTCCAGTGTTGGACTATACATATGTAGAGCCTCATACTAGGCACTTTTAGATTTGCATGTCGACATAGTGGACTGCTACGTGTGACGTCCTTTTAAGGCACTGTACAGTAGCAGTCCACTATGTCGACGTGCAAATCTAAAAGTGCCTATTACTGAGGTTGTCTTCACTCATACCAAACTTGTTTTTCTTTGCTGGTGCCTGGAATCATCTTAATAATAACCATGGACCTATTAGATGGAGGATAACCCCTGAGATTGGAATATGATATAAGCTCCCTGCTGTCAATCAGCTGGGTCTAAACCCCCACGAGCGATCTTCTTCCATACCCTTCAATACAGGCACAGTAGCCTGCATGTACGAGTACAATATGAAGAGGATACTTGGAAGCTAGAGTATACATGTAGTACCAGTAGGAATATTGGAAGTGATCAGTCTTCTTGGGATGTGTTGTTTGTCCTACAGTCTACATACAGTACATGTACTTTGTACACTGTACAGTATCAAGAAAGGTCCTAGCTCTTACAATTATGATGCAGCTTGATTTTCAGTAAAAAAGAAAATGTGCACGATGATTTTTCTTCATGACGCAATGCCTCTCTATTCTCTATGTTAATTATAGGTGTAGCCTGTGATTTGGTATTTTTTCAAGCTTTAATCACAGAGAATATAATAAAAGTGGTACATGTATTTTACAGGTGAAGACGAATACTAGTAGTTGGTAAACAGTTCCATTTAAAATTATTTTTTTCAAATGTGATCTGGGGTGATATTTTGGGGGTCTGTTTGTATTTTACAACCTCCGATTAGATTTTGAAATGTTAGGGTCAAGACACCTAAGGTTTCCTGTTATTATTGAACCCTTCACTCCAGTCTTCAATCTTGAATATTTTTATGGCTAACATGTACATGTATGTACATGTAGGGGACAATATACATGTACATGTACCTGTATATTCTGTATATATTTCATTGCATTTTGATCAAATTATTTGATTTCTCCTCTACAGCTTGGTGGAGCTGGTGTATTAGGAGTTGGAATCTGGACGGTCATCTCAAAGTTTGACTACACAGAGGTTCTCTGCTCACACGCTTACATCATCGCTACGTATGTCCTCATCATCTCAGGGGGTGTGGTCATCATCGTTGTCATCACTGGTTGCTATGGTGCTGTGCAAGAGGTCAAAGGTTGCCTGTTGGTGGTAAGGATATGTCTGTTTGCTTACAAAAGTTCGCACATGTATGTATAATAAGTGCATGTACATGTATACAAGTCATGTCTTTAATAGTGGAAGTGAAAATGGCATTAAAGTCATCAGTCAAGTGTTTAGACCACTCGACTATGACACAGTCTTAGATTGTGAACAAATTGTCTTTGATTAATTAGGAAAAGTAGCAGTAAATAAAAAAAAAAACACTAATATGAAAGAAGGAGTATAAAACAATCAGATCTTCACTTCACACACCATACAGTGTACATGTATGTACATATTATGTATACTATTAAGTGCATGTACATGTACATGTACATGTATGTACTGTACATGTCTATATCGGAAGTGAAACTGGCAATAAAGTCATCATTTATTTTGATGGGTGGCTGAAACGATTGTTTCACTTTTCTATCTCATAGTTTATAATTTGCACTGCAGGCAAGGCACAGTATATCAGAGGCTAGGACATGTACATGTACATGTACAGTACATGACTTTTAGCCTTAGTACACTTTGCATCCACAAAATGAAATGAGTGGGGAAAAAAAGGAATTTGGTTTTGATTTAAGTTTTGTATACTGTAATTAGGATGGGCCCAATCAGTAAACAAAATACTGTTCTCCCCAGGGACCCTATATTCAAATCAACAACTTTCAAAATCCACAAATAAGGCCATGTAAAATTGATTACATGTTGATCGTCCGGATTTTTTGAAAAAGAGGAGGAGGGTGTACCATGTTATTTGATATTTGATATTTTTCAAAATGGCCGCTCAAAATGGCCGCTCGGTACATTTTCCCTGACAGTCGAGGCTATTTTTTTTCAAGATGGCCGCCGACAATTTTTTTTTTTTTAAAACCAGAAATAGAGCCATTTTAGCAGTGTTTTTCATGTTTTTTTTCTTTCAAAAAAAAAAAAAAAAAAAAACAATTCAAAAAAATAAATAAATAAATAAATAACAAATAACAAAAAATAGGAGGCGGCCCCCAAAAAGGAAGCGGGCGGGGACGATCAACATGAAATCAATTTTACATGGCCTAAGGTGGCATACATACATGTATATTAAAAGGGAAGGTGCAAAATGAAAAATGAGCAAAAATATATAACATTTGCTCCAATGAATGCAAAGCTTTAATATATCGGTTTTTGTTTATTAAAGTATTCTTCAATTTCTTAGTACCAAGTACATATTTCTTATGATTGTTGGTTCTGTCATTCTATTCATTATGTTTAAATTATATTTTGATTTTTTTTTCTTACTCCAGTACTTCACTTTGCTCCTTCTTCTGTGCCTGGTAGAGCTAGCTGTCGGTGTCTTTGTGTATTATTACAGAGGAGAGGTATGTCATATCAAAAATGATATTTTATATTATTTTATTTATTCTGTACTTCATTACAATATCAGCTTAAAATCAGCAAGCAAAGCTCTTTAATAAATTGGAAATCAAAGTTAAATGATAGCCCTGAAAAATTGAAATGAGTCAGGATTTACTATTTCATGGGATATTGAAATTCCAGAACTTAGGCATCCAAGATGGGTTTGTGAATGGTCCAGAATCACGAAGTTTTCCCACATCAAATCGCTTGAGTTTCACCATTAGCTTTAGGCATCTTGTGAAAGCTTTTTGCTATAATTTCCATCATTATCAATAAATGGAATTTGTTATTTGTGAAAGTTTCTAGCTTTACCGTATTCTGTGCAGTATGCAAGTGATGAGTATTGAAATTTTGCTTTTCTGTAAATGTCTCAAAATTTGAAAGATGAATTCAAATATTTAAGATTCACTTCTGGTCATCTGATATTTTCATTGAATTCTTAGATAAAGAGAAAATTACTTTGATTAAAAGTGATAGCAAACAGCTTACTTGTTGATTGTGAAAAATAAAGATTTGGTGGTTCCATGAATAGAAAGTAGTTGGAAAATACAGGATTACTGCTGTGGTATTTGTCCAAAATTATGATGAGATTTTTCCTTCTTATTTGTTTTTCCTTCATTTTTTTTCTTTCTTCAATCCATGTAGCTTCAAGATGAGCTTGTAAAGTGCATGAACAGTTCAATGACGAAGAACTACGGAGTGACTGGTAATGAAGCCTACACTGTTACGGTAGATGAATTACAGACGAGTGTGAGTATATTTTTTGACAGGTTTTCCACTGTACATTCAATGTTATAGGTTTTCAGTGTAAATATATGCAATGCTTGCGTTCACCCTATACCGGTCTGGGGGCAGAACCCAAGCCCCCTCGCAGCGTGCCGCAATATGTTTGAAGATATTGTTTGTCATCATCGTGAGCTTTCATGACTCGCCTGGAGGCTTATGCATCTTTTGATATCAAATTGATAAGATTTAAACTAAAGATTACTTCACAGAATCAAATTCACCTTGTGTATTTTCCACAATGCAGAAACGTCACTTTGCAGATATGTGAATACTGAATTAGCAATAATTCAGAATCTTTCTTTCTCCTCAGTCTCTTTGTCGCATCTTAAGATTTTTTTTCTTTTTCAATTGTTCAGTTCAACTGCTGTGGTGCAGCTAGCTTTGAGGACTGGGAGAAGAGTGAATGGAAGCAGAACGGTAACGCTGGTAATCGCAGCGTCCCGGCTAGCTGCTGTAAGACCTACAGCCCATACTGCTCAGTCAGAACACATCCATCAAATATTTACCACCAGGTAAGTCTATAGGTGGGACTACAGAATAGAAAATTGTTTTAATAAGATGACACAAATGTCTATGATTGGGACTACAGAATATAAAACTGTATACAAAAATGGCACATGTCTATAGGTAGGACTATAGAATATAAAACTGTATAAAAAATGACACACATGTCTATGATCGGGACTGTTCTAAAGCAGGAAGATGTTAGTGCATGTAACTCGGTATATTGCAAAACGGGTTAAACTGCTTTAAGACATACAGCTCTTTACTATTGAATATGACCATCAACTAAGTCAAGAGATGGGTCTGATGAAACTGATTTGACCCGTTTCGGAGGAGTTATTGTATTGACCTTTGTCTTACAGGGTTGTGGATTCGGCCTGTCACTCGTAATGAAAATAATAATAACTGATTTGACCAGTATAAGCTAGTTCACAGTTGCAGTCTGAGCATGAGCAGATAAAGGTCATTGCAGAACAAATTGTAAAATACACAGAGACAAATTAAAGTTATGTAATCGTTATTCATTTATGCACAAGCAGTGCACTCCATGATGCACAGGTGATAGTGTTCTTTTTAAAAGCGGAAACAAAGGCTACTTTAGCACCTCCATCGCTGTAATAATAATAATAATAATTAAGTTAAACCGAAAATGGAAATTCATTTTGCCCAATTGATTGCGAGCCCAGCAGCCACTGAGCAGCGCCAGATCGACGTTGCTCTATCCCTTATTGTTGAACGCCAAACAAGGTAGCAACAACTCCCGTCTTTTAACGTCTTTTGGTATGATGTGGCCGGGGTTCGAACCCACGACCTCCTGGTTGTGAGGCGGATGCTCTACTGACTGAGCTAACACACCGGTACACTGTAGGAGTGATTATTTCAAAATGTATAAAGTGGGACCTCTTCACGTTTTGAAGATCTGTGGATATTTGGGGTCATTTAACCATGAACTGGTCTTTTGGAGGAGTGGTTATATATTGTAAGCACTAATCTGACCTTTGACCTTTGTCTTACAGGGTTGTGTAGTTGGCCTGTCGCTGATAGTAGAAGATCATCTCATCATCATAGGTGCTGTGAGCTTGGCTATAGCTGGGGCAGAGGTAAGATTTCAACAACAACAACAAATGTTTAAAGCTGAACAAAGTTTTTTATGCCTCCGTTACGAAGTAGCCGGAGGCATTATGTTTTCGGGTTGTCCGTCCGTCCGTACGTCCCGTTCTCGTGATCGCGTTATCTGAAGAACCGATTGATGGATTCCTGCCAAACTTTGGTCATGTATGTATCTTGCAGAGCCGATGAACTGATTAGATTTTGGGGTCACGAGGTTAAAGGTCAAAGGTCACAGGGCTCATTATGTATGCAAAAACAGCTCGTGATCGCGTTATCTGAAGAACCGATTGATGGATTCCTGCCAAACTTTGGTCATGTATGTATCTTGCAGAGCCGATGAACTGATTAGATTTTGGGGTCACGAGGTTAAAGGTCAAAGGTCACAGGGCTCATTATGTATGCAAAAACAGCTCGTGATCGCGTTATCTGAAGAACCGATTGATGGATTCCTGCCAAACTTAGGTCATGTATGTATCTTGCAGAGACGATGAACTGAGTAGATTTTGGGGTCACGAGGTCAAAGGTCAAAGGTCACAGGGCTCATTATGTATGCTGAAACAGCTCGTGATCGCGTTATCTCAAGAACCGATTGATGGATTCCTGCCAAACTTAGGTCATGTATGTTATTTGCAGAGCCGATGAACTGATTAAATTTTGGGGTCATGAGGTCTAGGTCAAAGGTCATGCGGCTCATTATGCATGCAAAAATAGCTTGTGATCGCATTATCATTAGAACAGATTGTTGGATTCCTCCCAAACTTAGATCATGTATGTATCTTGCAGAGCCAATGAACTGAGTAGATTCTTGGGTCATGAGGTCAAAGGTCAAAGGTCATGGGCTCATTATGTATGCAAAAATAGCTTGTGAACGCATTCTCATTAGAACTGACAGATGGATTACTATTTAACTCGGAACATCTTGCAGAGCCAATGAACTGAGTAGATGTTAGGGTCATGTGGTCAAAGATCAAAGGGTCATATATGTATATGAGAAATTGCTTGTAATCACGATATTCTGAGAACCTGTTAATGGATTACAATTGAACTTGAATTTGAACAATTTCTTCTGTTTTGGTTTGTAAAATTGCTCTATGACGGAGGCATCATTTCGACTGCGCGCAGTCGAAGTTCCATCTAGTTTGGTATAATTGTTAAGTATTGGCGTCACCAGGGCAGGTATTCAATTCAATACTTAAAATGAGTAAGAAATTTAATAAGTAAATTGCCAAGCTAAGAACTTTACTTATCTCGAATTCAAATCGGCTTTTGACCTTAAAAAAAATCTAATACTTACTGATTGTGACATCACACGGTCAATCAAAAGTAATGCATAATGAACGTGTCGCAATAAATGCGTGTTAATATAATTGTGCGCAGGTTATTGATACTGCGTTAGAAGACCATATGCCTGCCAATCAAGGCCTCCAAATAATTGGCTCAAGTCTGGTTGGGAGCTGTCTTAAATTTAGGGTAAAATGCTTAGCCCAAAGTTTGAACTGAATTCCAAAATTGGCTAGTATTTTATCTAACCCGAAAACAAAGTAAAATACTGGTACTCATATTTCAAACTTAAGTATTGAATTGAATACGGGCCCTGTGCTTAGGAGGCGAAAAGCAAACTGAACCATTGTGACCCTCGGTTCTCTCCTCCCGACATATAGCTGATTTACGATGTGTAGGTGGACCACTACATCAGGGTTCCCCCCTGCTCTTATTCAAATATTGCAGTAGGTTTTAAACTTGCAAAATTGGTTAATCTCCTTTACACAGGACCTACATTTACCATTCCATCTGGGGGACTGAGTGTTTTGTAACGTAAATATGGGAGGGGCACATGCACACTCAATGCAGGCTTCAGTTATCCGCCTTTGTTGTATTCAACCCACGCTCTTTTGTTCTACATTCAGACGCTTAACCTCTGGTTTGGTTTAGGGGTAATCTTGTTCCAGGATTTAAATTGAGAATTCAGTCATTAGTAAAGATATAACGACTGCTATGAGAGGCCTGGCTGTATTATAAGCTCAAGGGATGTGCGCACATTCCCGAGAGCCTATAAATTAAAACAACCAGGCCTTGAATATGAAAGCAGTCAATATGTCTTTTATATGCCCAATTGAAACAAGAAGTGTCAAGTTTGACAGATTTGAGTGATGTACAAGAACTCAGTATTATTATTTTTATAATTTTCGTTGCAATAATTATATGACTTACGTCCTTGTTTCAGATCATGGGTCTCATCTTCTCCATGTGTCTCTACTGCCATCTACGCTATGAAGAACAGGAACCCTACTGATCAGTATGAAACAACTCATTACAATATATGCATACATTTGCATATATTATGCTAATTATGCTAATCATCAAGGGATCCCACATGTTTGTGCATGCTTTCTGATGTACTCATCAAAAATGAAAATGGGAAGAGAAATTGTGAACTAAATTTAAGAATATGAGGGGCACAGCCGTTTGTCCTCTTCAATATCTATTTGCAACTCACTTTTTTAAAATGATATTAGTTTATTCAATGTATTTATTTGTCCAATGTCATTCAACATGGATATTTGGTTTGCTCACATGTAAAATATAGGCTCAGACAAGGATTGCTATCTTTCAAGAATATTTGTGCGACCAATTTAACATTTTTTCAACAATTTCAACAATGTTTGTGTGACCAATTACTTGGTTATAAGTGCTTGGGCGGGGTTTGAACCCAGGACCCATTGAATCAAACTAAGAATCACAACCTCTAAACCACAGTGCCCCAAGAAGGATTTGTTTGTGTTTTTTGTCCAGTATGATGCATTTGATATGAGTCTCTCTGGTCATGGCTAGATTTTTAGGCTCTATTGTGAATGGTGCTATATTTTTTTCCTCCACTCTTTTAATGCATGGTTTTTATTCTAATGTAAACCTATCACATACTGAGCTTGAAATATATACCGTATAAGCTTAGAAAACTTAACAGTCTCCTTACAAAATGATATTTGGAGCATGTATCTAAATAAAATTGGATAGTAGCATGGAACCCCCCCCCCCCCCAAAAAAAAAACAAGAGCAAAAGGGGGATGAAAGATGTTGATTGATCCTGGTCTGTATTTGAAGACTACTGATCAATATCTTTATAACATTCTGTATCAATATTTGTAATTTTTATTAATAATAACCAATCTTTTACATGTATGTTCAAATTGAAATTTTGCAAAGAATCATCAGCATTAATAATTTTCAACACTGAGAGAAATGCTATTAGAGTGTTAAACAAATACAGGGTGTATTAGGCCATAAATATGTTTAAATAACATTCAGTAGTTGTTAATCAATGCCTGAGATTTTGTGCAAGACAAAAATAAAGTTGATAAGCAGCATTACAATGGAGGAATTAATGCATGAATAATATTGATTTTGTTAAAATCAAATATGATGATGTTAACTTTTAGGAATATGAAATTACCAATAAAGAAAGTACTAAATTTGGTACATTTAGGTAAGGTACCTAGCAATAGGGTTTGCTACGAGCTACAGTTTAATATCATAGTAAACAACCATTTTGTAGGTGCTGTAAACAGCCTACATTACGTGGATAATTTGACCTAATTTGTTCCTACATGCATGGTTTTATCTACATAGTTTGTACTAATTTTGCGGTGATTTTTCTTTAAATCTATATTTCTAGAGTTTACAAAGCTTTGCCTTTTCATTGCGCAGGTATAGATCTCTTGGTGTTTATATTCTCTCATTTTATTTATGCCTTAGTAGCCCCATTGCAATGGGGAATCTTGGATCTGTTCAGAAAGACATATATGTACAGTAAGAAGGGGTACCTTTTTTAGAGCATTATCTTTTAATCATTGTTCATCGAGCTTTTAGTACCTACAGTTAGTATTGGAGGAAAGAAATTTATTTAAATGCGTTTTCAACGTGAAAATCTGAAATTTGAGGTTGGAAAGGGTTCTGATTTTGAAAATTCAATTTTGAATAATGTCATGAATTATATACATACAGGAAATGATTTGACTGTTAAGAGCATTAAGATTAGTGTATATATTTGTACTGGGTTTGTTTTTTCTAAGAGGTTTTGCAAACTAGATTGTGATATTTTGATGTAAAAAGGAGCCTGAATTCAAATTCTATGAATAGTGAGCATGAGTACTAGCTATACAGCTTTTATTTGTCGCTTTGAGTTTAAACCGAAAGAAATATTCCTATTATAACAATTATTACTAGTTTGGTATATTCATGTACATGTACATGTATTTTCAAATGGCCAATTAGAATGCAGAAAAACACTTCTAATGTATTATACATTTACATGTACTCAATTTGGAAACCAGGACTGAAGGTGTCTAGTTCCATTGCTCAGATTCTAAGAAAGAAACTCATTTAAGTAGATTCAATATAAATCTGTGAAATTTCTCCTGACTTTTGTAATTGCTATTCACAGTAAAAGCAACATTGTCATCAGGTCAGTTCAAACTCAATTGTGTAGGAATAGCATTTTAAATGGAACATTTTCATAGTTCTTTAAAGGGATCCGGTAACTTTGTCTCAGATTCTGAAACAAAATCCTGGATTTAGCTCATGCTGCAATGATAATTATAAACCTTTAGGTCAGTCAAGAACCCCATGACTTTTACAAGCCGATCGTCTGTCTGATTATCAAGATATTTATGATTGGAAAGCAAAACCAAATTTTGCGTTTTCCTAACAGTTTTCATAACACTACAGTCGATTGGGGAAAACGAGTATGGTAAAACCGCTCACTCAAAGATTTATACTTTTTTGAGGCACTTCTTGATCATTTTGAAGCGCAATTATTTTAGGGCTTCAATATTAAATCATATCACAGACATTGATAACACGTAGGGCTATGCATCTCAGATTTAACATTGTTAAATGATGCTTTTAAAGGATGAATTGAGCAAAATGAAAGTTGTATAGCTAGAACTTTTTATCAAACAGCATTCATGAAATTTGATATCAGGCATCCTATTATGGCATGTGCATGCATGTTTTGTAAATACAAATTGAGCTTCTATTATATAATCTACTGGAAAAATATTATTATGTATGCCTATTTGATTTCTGTCTGGTATTTTATGTCTTATGTTTAATGTTTTGTACATGTATTCTTTTTTAAAGATATCACCGAATCTCTGCCTGCATTTTGTTTTCAGATTGTTTTCAAACTGTCTTCAGCCTTGATCTCATGACAAAATTGCCAAAGTTTGTATGGCTTTTATAATTATTTAATATTTAATAATTGATATCCTTAATTTGCAAAAAGTGTTTGTCATTAATAAAGTACTGTAGAAGTCTGAAATGTTGGTTTCTTCTGCTGAGAGCCAGGAGGATGTTAATACATGCATTGTTAGCTCCCTTCTGGTTGTAATGAATTAATTTCTAATTGATGATCTCTTACCAATAAACAGTGACACTTGTAAAGACAAAACAGTGAGATAAACTATCACATCGTTTGAGGTTGATGAAGCATGATTTGTATTTGGTTTTATACTAGAGATTGTGAAAATGATTGTAATTAATTTATTTTCTAATTGATGATCTCTTATCAATAAATAGTAAAACCTGTCGATAGTGACCACCCAAGGGAGATGAGAAAAGTGGTCTTTGAAGGCAGGTGGTCTTTGTAGACAGGTTCCTTTAGTGCATGTTTCAATGAGAAAACATTTTAAAGGGGAACAAAAAAGTGGTCTTTGTAGACAGGTGGTCACTAAAGCAGGTTTGATTGTAAAAGATATTAAGTATTATGATTCATGGAAGAATTCTAATGATACATGAAAATCCAATCCAATATACATCTATGTCATTAGAAAATTGATATATGTGTATTCTAGTACTGTTTTGATACTTTGTAATTTAACTATATTTAAAGGATGTACTTGTAAATGTATTGGTTGTGGGTTGAGAGCGTTTGTACAATGAGTTATGATGTTTTTATTGTATTCATAAAGGTTTATGTTTATCAATGCCTATGAAATAGATATCAATGATGTAGAAGGAGTAAGTGGTTATTTTCCAACACATTTTCAGATTAATGGGACTAGGGTAGGAGGCTGTGTCTGAGTCATAACCTTTTGTAAAGCACTTTATTCAATTTATCTAATGAACCCCTTTGTTCAGCCAGACTCATCCTCAGCCTGCAAATACAACAACAAAGATAAGATAGTGGATGAATTAATACACATTTCTTTCAGAATAGTTGTAACAATTAAGCAACATTTCATTTTTATACTGGTAAAAAATATTCAGAATACTCTTCCAAAAATGACTTCTTTACGACTTCCTTTACATGTTTCTCAACGTTTAATTGTAAAACTATATATTAATCTCCATTTTACATTCAACTTATTTAATGTAGTAGTTAGCTTGAAGAGTAGATCTAGTGAGGTGAAAGTTTAACGTTTCATTTTTCTCCTGTCTATTTGTCAATAGCACTATAATTGATATTTAATTCTGTGTAATTTTAACATGCCTTAATAATGAAAATCGCAAGCAATCAGTAAATATAAAGTGCAAGTGGTGAATGGTCAGTATTGGATGATACCATGTGGGTTTAGAAAAGGTGTAGACATTTTAATAGTTGTAGTGTTTGAATGTTAACATGTAGTTTTTAAACTTCTACCAACCTTAAGTTTGTTATGCAAGCTTTCATCCAATCCTGTGGACTTTCTGAAGCTAAGTGATCAGTCTGAGTCACACTGCCTGGTGTCCTACGATCACTGGACCAAAATGTTGTTAGGAGGGAAAAGCTTAGGTTTTTATCATGGTCCAAGTCACCAATGGCCTATGAGGGCGACAGCTCACAAAGACCGACAGCCCACAAGTCTGGTAACCCATGAGAATAGACCCATGATAGAGAATCCTAAAATTAGCAGTCTAAAAAAGTTTTGACTAGATTATTTTCAGCCCAGGAAAAAAGACCACAGATTCTACTTGTATACTTGTACCACTGGTTAGATTGTGTGGTGACAGTTGAAAACGAAATGTTTTATATGCAGTCTAGAACAGTAACCATTTCTTTACAAATGTTAGAAAGTATTTGCGCTGGAGGCTGAAACATATCTAGCTGTAGTGTGATGGTCTCACTTAAGAGAACACTTGAAGTGACGTCTGAAAAATATGCATTGAATACTGACCTGGTATCAATTTAAAGCTATGTTAATTGGGCGTTGTGGCGTGCGCCTGAAATCTAGCTAACAATGGAAGTTACAAACTGATTCAGCCGAGGATGCAGGTTTGAAACTGAGTCGCATCTTTCGGATGGTGACGTTTAGAGGTCATTCCCCAGACTGTAATAATCATATCTAATATATGCACATCTGTACAAACCCAATACACACACACAATATTACATTAAATAGCGAAATTAATGAGACTTACAAGATATCCATTTAGAAAAGAAAAAAAGAGACCATTCACCAAGTCTGAAAGTTAAAATTGACATACCGTATTCTTTTTTGCAGTACAAAGAGAAGCATTTCTTCATGCTTTGTTTCAATGCAGAAGCATTTCAAGGGTTTTTTAATAAGAAATATTATTACAATTGTGTATGAAAAGGAACAAAATGATAGTATTCTAATGTGCATTTACAAATGATCTGTTCTGTCTTGCCTGAGAAAACTACAATTCAACTGAAAAGAAACCCACACAATGAAAAAGAAAATATTATTTGAAACCCACCTTTATTATTGAAATTGTTATCTTTTTGTGCTGCTGTAAAATTTAAATGTTTTAGATCTTTGTTTTTATGTTCCTCATTATTGTTTTTGTTGAAAAGTACTACCTACTAATATTTTGCTAAATATGGAAACAGAAGTGGCAAGTTGTTTTGATTTTAATCGCATGTTAACTGCATTTCTTTTATATTCTAATTGCTTTAAAGGTATTCGAAATAGAGATAAAAATTCTTTATATAAAAACTCAGTCGTGTCTTGTCCATTTATTCTTTGTTTTTGAATTTGTACGATGTAGAGTAATCTTTTTAATATAGAAACAACAACCAGAACAGCGACACCTTATCAAAATCAATACAAGAGGTGCTTTTTAGTGTTGCCCACAGAAAACATACAACACACACACACTCTCACTCATACAGCCACATACACAAATGTCTCAGCTAAGCTTGACTGAAACTGTAGTAGTTGGGCATACATTCATGATTTATCGCGATACAACTCAAAACAAATTAAAAAAATTTAAGGATTACTAACTCGATTGAAACTACCGTTAGAATTTTAACTTGGGGGGGGGGGGAGGGGGCAAATTGAATACTCCCCAGGGAGTGGAGAATGTGCATACATTGTGTGCGGGTAAGCCTGAATCCTATAACTGGGGTAATAATATATTTTTTTTATCTGTAAAGTGCTTAGACAAATTGTTGTATGGACGTATAGGGCGGCAAGGGCGCTATATAAAAGCGGAATATTATTATTATGATCCTAGAGGAATCGTGTTTGGATTACGTAATATATCTTTGTAATGTTCACACATTCAAATGGTGACGTAAAAGGCCAATGAAATTGCTTTCGGTTGATTTGTCAAAAGTACATGTAGTGTTGACCATTTTTCAAAGAGACAGAGAGAGAGAGAAAGATTAAAGAAGTCCCCATGCATAATTTGGCCATTTTGTAGGGTCTTCCCCTTTGAACAACCTTCAAAATGGGTGAATAATTATAAAACCAGAAGTTTCACCTAAAAAACTACCATGAATTGTACCCGGCCCCCGGGCCCACTCCGGGGTCGGAATGACCGCATGTGTGTTACCAAAATGTCTGGTAAAGGGGTACTTTTCGTGCGACTAAGTCCGGCCCGAGAATTGTAAAAAAAAGGGTGTATTTGACTTTTCACCCAGAGATTTCTTTAAAAAGGGGGTGTTTTTCTTTTTTTCTCTCAATTCTTTGGACTCCTGAGAAATTGTTCCGAATTAAGGGGGGTACATTGTGCATTTTTTCCGTATTTAGGGGGGTCTCCAAGGCAGGAAAAGCCCGTAAAAAGCCCGAGAAAGGGGGGTTCGGAAATGTTGGCAGTCCTCAGATAGGGGGTGCTTTCAAAAAGAGGGAACGAGCATACGCGTACCCTAAATAACACTGAGTGGGGGGGGGGGGGGGGGCGGGAATTGTATAAGAACTACCATATCCATGACAAGAACTTTCGAGCATTGCCAACATTTGTGTTGTGTCAATTGCTATTCAATGTCATGCACACCAAAGTTTCCAGTTTCATTCAAGTTTTTATGACACACCCACCAATCATTAAACATGCTTACATTGAAATGTATACTCTTTATCATTGAACCATTAGTTACAGGCGAGAGGTATTCTGGAAAGGTATGTACGTTATGCAGTTTCATTTTGCTTTTGATCGATTACATCTTTAAAAACTCATACTTCTTCCTCTCATAGGATTTTCCTCAAATTTTCAGGAGATATGTTTCACTCATGTTCCCCACTACTATTCAATCTATATTAATAACATCAAGGTATACTCTAGTCCAGCCTCTGTACCGTTTTCGTTTAGCGCACCCAATCAGCTGATAAAATAACACACCCTCAACGTTGAAAGTAGACCTAGCCCTTCCTCTAAATCTAGACCTCGTGTGGACGGAAATTTGGGGATTGCGCGATCAGTGGAGAGACTGCGCTGTGTGTGGGGGATAAAAAGAACGAACGGACTGAATCTGGACTAGGTATACTCCAGCCCCTTTACATGAAAACAAATACAATGTAGATCACAAAAGAAATAAAAGAGAACAGTAAAAAGTTGATATGGATTTGTATCATTGGGTCTTTTATTGACTATGCTGTGTATACATCATTTGACTGGCTTTCCAAGCAATCTGTTTTGCTTTCCTCTTCAACATTCCATCTTCTGCATTCTGATTCAAAATGTCAAGACAAAAAAAGACTTTCCATGTTCAATTCAGTCTGGATAATCTAAATATAATCAGATTATATTCAGAGTATTATTTCACATTTAAAAATTATGCTCACCAGTTTAAACAGGCCTTTGCATTTAAAGAAATGTGATGGAAAAGATCACAGATTATGTGAGTTAGCCTTAATTGTTGCAAGAAAAAAGACTTCATTGCCTGAGCTAATGATGGTAAAAAATACTTAATTGCAAAATACAATCTCTGCGTTCATAATTGTTTTTATTAATTGTTCATTTATTTGACATGACCTTTATTTTTATGCGTTGACCAGTGGCAGAAATAACCCATTACCTCTTGGAACAAGGCTACTTTGTATCACCATCACACATACAAACACTGGGCTTGATTGGAAATCAAAATACAAAAGAAAATTGTGTATTTTCCTAATGGATATCCTTTCAAAAAGCCTTTCTTTATCTAGATTTCTACCTCAAATTAATATTAAATCTTCAAATAATATTGGCTATCATTGTTTTCATCATCTATGAGAATGTTTCATTCATGTCCTACTTTAGTTTGGGAGATTTTAAAAGATGGTTTCTGATTGGCCAAGCCTGTAGCACGATTGGCCAATCACAAATGCCACATAAAAGACAAAGGAAACTTTTGACCAATCAAACAGACACAATTGTACAACTGATCTTCTTTTCAAAGAAAATTGACCAAAAAACATCACAAAACTGACCATTGAATCTCCTTTCCCATCTTCGAAAACAGAAGGTGCATTTCAAAATGATTGAATAATTCAAAAAAGTTGTTTGAAATCACCTTTTCAAGGATAATAGAATACAATATATAAAATCAGAAAGAATTAAAGAGAAAGAGTGGAAGAAAAAACACATAATAATATTGTCACAAATTATGTTTCTGTCCAATGCAATTAAAATTACAGCTCACGTCAAGAAAAAAAAAAATCACTCGTATGATCTCTTAGTAACTCCGAAACATTCAGCTCTCTACATACATCATTCTAAACTGAGCTAAAATATCAAACTAAAATTATGTGAAAATTAATGACAATAGATCGACACAAAACTTGGTACAAGATACCAATAACATACAAATATAACAAAACTAGTTCTACTACAAATATCATATATTGCATTACAATGGAAAACACATTTTCTCATTTTTCATTAATACAGTTGGCATAATTAAGTGTTTATAACAAAAACTCTACATGTATAATAAATACTTGGTAGTTAAAAACAAGAAATTAATCAATAAATAGATTTCTACAATACAAAGCGACAAATGTTTTTGTAAGTTTTAATTTTTTTCTTCCGTCATCAATTTGCTATGCACACATTTGCGTCGGCTACACTTTTATGACTAAAAAAAGAATATTTCCCTACGAAAGCCCACTGTGCACGGACGTAAACGAATAAGTTAATAACTCTAAGAGCTGAAAAGACATACTAAGTAAAGCACCGTGTAGATCTGTTATTTATCTTACATCTTATAAAATCTATAATGAAAACTAGTAGCTGAATGAAAGTAGACACTTTCTAGTTTCATCCTAAACTTCTGAATTTCAAAAAGTATTTGTAACCAATCAACCTGGATATACCCCCCCCCCCCCCTTTGAACATTACCCCTTCAACCTTTCAGGCCTCTTCCTTTAGAAGTATGAGAATGTTTAATCATGTTCACATGTCTGCAATGAGTTGCTAACCATCTCCAAAACGCTTACCTACTCAATCACATATTCAAAATGAACCTGTGGCTTCAGCATTCTTCATGGAATTATCAAAGTGAAGTGTTAAGATGGAATAAAAACAACTGCAAACTTTTTTGTTTTTGAAATAAGCACCAGTGATTTCCAAATTTGATATTGAACGTTTTTTTTTCTTCAAAAAATTAATATGCTCTATAGAAAGGTCATAAGAAGGTCATGCAGGTCATGGAAGGTCAAGATGAGGTCAGGTCAAAGGTTACACCAGCAACTTTGTAGGGGGACATCTACATTAGCTGGTGTAACCCATTACTCTATCCTGCATCCATCCCTTCCAAGAACATCCATCACAGCACCCATCTCTCACCTCATTCTACCTCATTCACACTGCCGAACAGACCTCACCCAGATTTCCAACTGACCTATTGAAAGCCAATCAGTGTATTGTAATCTCTTGGTCAGACCGTAGTTGTTCCTCGCTAGTGTGACAGGGGCATTAACGGTTACTCCTTGAGAGCTCCACCAGCTTTTCTAATGTTTACTTTCTGGGAGAGCAGAAGCAAATTGATATTATCTATTCACCTAGAAATATCACATTTTCCTCTTTATTTAGGCTTGTTTTCCATGTACACCTTATTTCATTGTCTATAGTCTTCCGATTAAACTAATTGTATAAGCATGAAATCCACTACCTCTTTGTTTCTATCTCAAAGTGACTCGACCTGTGCACAATCTATTGACCTTTGACCTATACGACTTGATGTCAAGGTCAAGAAGACTGAGCTCTAATGACGTTAACCCATTCACCACTGCATTCCCTCATTGCCATAGGCTTAACACAGGATGGGGTAACAACTCCATCAAACATATATGGGTTCAGTAATGAATGGATTGAACACTATCACAAAATCTATGATAATATATATACAACATACAATCTAACTTTGGACAGATCCTTTGTCCTGTCTTTCATGACTCACGGACCAAGAACTATTGGACATTCCCCCCGTGCCCTAGCTGAATCAGCTTCCCCATACTAGCAAGATCCCCAACTGATCCTTCTTTATTTTTAAGCAGATATACCCTGATGTTGATGTTTAACCAAATAAGCAATTTGTCAGCTGTCCGCAAGAAGGTGGTAAGTGCGATGAATTTCCAAAGGCAGTAGTAGCCTTCTGGCGGGCAGCCGAAGATTGACTCGTTCCTTAGAACACCATATTCCTAGTACTGAACATACATCCATTGTCTGTACATGGGACTATTATCAAGAATAACACATTCAAAGTCTCTCCTAAAGCGTTAAATAGGCAAAGCATTTGTACTGAAGCCAATCCAACTTAAACAAATATATACAAGTACTGTACACATACTTCAAATTTGAATACAAGAGAAATTTACATGTAGGACTATGTACTAAATACATCAGGTTGAATGGACGATGATGACCTTGTTTGATATTAGAATGTCATCATTCTCATGATTGAGTTTTTAATCATATCAAGATAACTAAGGAGGGATACATCTTTAAATATAAATGTAAGGAATTTTATATTTTGGAGAGCGACTATTCACTCACTACTTGCATAGTAAAGGGTGTATTGATCTCTAAAAGGCACTTCACATCTTTCAAAATAATCACATATATTTATCATAATTATGTTATTATTCAGAAAAAATCTACTCCGTAAAGCAAATACATCATCGTTTACATACTTGTCACAAAATGTTATCATGGTAACACCCACAGTTTTCAAAATAGAACATATTACCTTCTGCGACCAAGAAGGGAATTCACTTGAATCATTTCAAACGGGTTTAGCCCCCTTAAGAGTAATTAGACTTAAGTTCAACAGGCTTTTCAGGTAGACAGTTGAAAAAATATAATCCTAAAGCTGTTCCCTATTTTTTGATGAATTGTGAATGATCAAAGTCCAAAACCCACTAAAGAATTGAACTTGATGTGATTCATTCACAACTCAGCTGAATTGGGTATCAACTGCAAAATTATGAACTTTTGTAATTTAGTATTTCTTAATGAAATATTTGATTGTTTATTCAGAGCCAGAAGGATGTAAATCCTGTCTTGGATAAAGAGAGTTATGCCCGTCTGGCTCAAAACACATCTAAGGGTGCGTTTATGCTCAACTTTTTCTGGCCAAATGAGGCATTTGTTACGCGTTTAGTTCAAAACACGGTTGCGTCCTTTCTCATTTTTGTAGAATCACCAAAAGACGGTGATCGTAATCGCCGATCGTAAACTCACAAAAAGGTGCGTTTTGGATCTGCGATTCTTTGGAAGCATAAAACCACAATCATTTGTAAACGCGTTTAAATGGGGTCAACATAGCATGCGTAGTGAAGGTTTGCGAATCCAGCTGCAGAGCCAGAATCATGCCTGGAGGAGCCAGAGAAGTAAGCATAAACAGTACACCGTGGAACTTTGATTACGATGAGCGTTTCAAATCGCTCATTCTGTCTTCAAAATTTGAGCATAAACGCACCCTTATACTACCAAGGAGTACGATGTACAACCTTGAGAGATCGTTGCAGAGAACAAGTTGTTTTGTAATTGTAAGAGGGGGAACTATGTCATACATCTAATCAAAATACAAATTCAAAGAAAAGATTGCAGTAGAGGAGTTGTTTTGCAGTTATCCACATATGTCTGTGAGCTAAGGAATTTAATTGGCTGAACACGACATCTGTAGGATGAGTTGGATGATCTGATTGGTCGAACTGAACAAGTCTGGTGATCCAGGTTCGGGAGGAGACGTTGGCACATGAATAAGGAGATGACGATGTGAGCTAGTTGAATATCAAATGCTAGTTTACTGTTGGGATGGAAAGAAATGAGATATTTTGTTTAAAGAATGAAAACATTTGATGGTATAAATGGATACATATGTGTTATGGATGCTAGATAAATATCATGAATATTTAGAAACCCAATGATACAGAATAGGTGAGAGGATTGTAGACTAATAGGAGAAAGATTTCAGTAGAAAGAGCTAGGCAGATGGCTACATCATGTATCATTTACACATCTAAGTACCATTAATTGCTGAGAGATATATCCACCTATCTAATGTTGTTTAAAATACAAATTGAAGTCTCTTGCAATGGAATTCGATAAATTGTATAAAAACACTAATCTTCCATTAACAGTAACTTTATCATCCTCAGAAAGGCTATCTTCATAGGAGATAATTTGAAACGTATAAATTTAAACGATACTAAATCTATGTTGTGTTTTGATAATTTATTTATTCCTTCCTGACAATGTTTTTAGTTTATCACATTCTTAATCAAACTTGACTCATATTTAATGTCAAACCATGTAGGGGATCCAATAAAATCGCAAACCCAATTTCGAGAGGGACTGGTTATCAGATTTATCTGAATGACATCTAGGACAAAATAAGACAAACAAAATAATACAAGACCAATTTAAAAACTATAGTCTCAATCTAAGAACACATTCCACCTAGCCTTGTCATGCAAAAGATAACTTTTATGCGACCTAAAGAACTGACCAATAAACAAGCAGATAATTTCCAATACCAGGGGGTGTTTCACAAAGATCCTAAGTTGAACTTATCTATAAGTTGGACTTTACAGTTATGGAAAGCTGTTAGCATCTATGAAAAACAAAATTAAGGTTATTTTAGAAGACATAAACCCCTAAATAAAACCTATGTGCAGTCTTAATGTTTAGAGTAAAAATCAGGGTTCATTTATAAGGATGTTTTGTAAAAAGAAAAAGCTGTTCCTTAATTATCAACATCCACCATGTTAGTACATCGGGCAGAAGATTGAATGCAATTTTGAGTTCTGGTAATGAAGCAAGATAAACTCTTACAGAATGTTCAAGTCTATGAAGAAATGAGAACTAACGCACAATTTTGAAAGAGAATATATGATAGCTAAGAAACGAGTAAAGAAAGACAACATAATAGAACCACACGTAGCAGCCCCAAACCATGGAAATGGATTTTTGGTAATTTCCATTTGCATATGTATGCTACTGGTCCAAATTACTTGAAGCCAGTTAACCTTAAAATGCTGCTTCATTACAGAACTCAAAAGTACTTTTAACAAGTAAAAAAAAATAATAATAATAATTGATACAATAAAGCAAAATCAATACAAATGCACTAAAACTACATAAAAACAAGCTACATGCACATACTATTGTTAGAACTGTAGCCATAAATGGAAAGGTTTAAAATGAATAGATTTGGGTGTGGCCAATACATATGAACCCTTGCTTTTTCCTCTATTACATTATGCAATCAAGCTTTCCAAAATTGCTTTCAAAATTGCCAATGGAAGTGTGTGCACCATATGTATTGTGTCTCACTTTACAAACAGTCATGCATATGCACACATAATCCATACATTAATATTCATACCTCAATACAAAAGCAAACAGGAAGAAGGAAATATTCAAGTAATCTAGTTGACAAATGCCCCCCTCCCAATATTGTTTCAGAATTGGGTGGAATCTATCTAATTATCTTAAAGAATTTAAAAATTCTCAAGTGTGCCATTTAGGCTTTCTTCATCTTCTTGTTTTACTTTATTCCAACTCAATTTAATGGTAGGGTGATAACCTAAAGAAACGTGGTATTTGTGTGAGAGCTTTAAACATTGCTAATCAATTAAGTAATTGACAACTAAACTTAATTCATCTTTTCTTATAGATCTAAATACTACATACTACATAAAAATATAAATGAAAATTAAGAATATTTTGACATCTGAATGCCTACATACATGTATATATGCGGAGCAAAGTCTTTATTAATTTAAATCATTTTACAAATACAGTTACAATTTGTAGATAACTCTCATATCATGATTATGGAAACTGTTAAGATTAATCAATGATCTAGAAGGCTCACTTAAACTTTTTGAAATATCAGGTATTTTGTAGAAAGCCTTCCTTGAATTTATGTTTTTCTTGCTTTAAAGCCCCTCTGCACTAGTTTGGCCAGGAGGGATTAGATCTCCCTGCATGGTCACTATACAGGTGGTTATCTCATCAAATCAGCTCTCAATTAACATAATAAAAAGGGGACCATGGGGGACCAATGTTTACTGATTAGGCATTGTTTGCAATATAGAGGGCGCAAGTAGCTATAAGTAGTGCAGTGGGGCTTAAAAAAATAGGAATAAAATACAAAACAAAAACAAGGCAAAAAATACAAATTTTAGACATGCATAAAATATTTAAATATCATCTGTTCAGAGCTCCGAGGGGTAATAACTCACATGAGGTCAATGACCTTCTAGCTCTTAACAGGTGATATCTAGGGTGACAGTATTAGATATCATGCTTTGGTGATAGCGACTATTAGTGTATGCATGCATTATGGAACAAACAAACAAACAAGAAGCTCCATACTTTTAGGACAGGTAACTTAGAGCTCTGGTTAACGATGAAAAACTGACTTTTCAGTTTTCAAAAAGTCAATGATACTGACACTACTAAATTCAAAGACTACAAATGTCAGATATGAAAAAGCTACTTTATATATTTATTATAATGCTATCAATAATAGCTCATTAATAATAGATTAATGACAGAAACTGCTTATCATTATAATACATGCAGTTCTACATGTGCACATGTACCTATTTTGTTGCTTTTCTTTATGTGATATTTTCAGGAAGTTTTTATAATTTAATAAAAATTCTGATTCCGCACAAACAAAATAACTGCATGCAACAGAATACTCAAATTACTTTCAGCTTTTTTCTCTATCTAAAAATTTTGATGACCAGAGCTCACATTTACCCTTCAAACAACAAACATGAAACTAACTAAGATGAACAAAAAAATACCAGCTAAGAACTCACGTTGCCATAGTAACGCATGTCGTGCACTAAACACAATGCATAATCAGACACTCTTGAGGGCTTTCATCAAGCTGCGGAAATCAAACTTAGGCTCCTGTCAAGGAGAAAGACAGTGTGTGTGTGTGTGTGTGTGTGTTTGTGTGAGTGTGTGTTTGTGTAGCAGAGCAGTCAGGAGGTGCATTGTGGGTAGGCAAAAGAATAAGCAGTGATTAAGATTAAGGTAAAAAAAATCAGAATATCTTCTCTACAGTAATCATCTCTATAATACCAAACACAGCTTACTTTTACCATAGAACTGGTATATTATTCTTGAACTATATAAATAATTCACTACAAATTAAACAATTAATTCTCTAATTCTCTATTGTTTATTTGATCAAAACTCATACAGTGTTGTACTTAATTCAGCTCCTTTGAATGGATTGCCCAGTATGAAATTAAGAATAATATTCTGATTACATACTTTTGAAATCTAATACTATGAGTGTTTGCCCATACCAGGTTACCATCTGATCATTATGACTAGATTTGTGATAATGAATCTCAGCCATCGTCATATCTTATACTATTAAAGCCTAAAGAAATTCCAGATGAAACCCATTGCAAGTATGCTTTCAATAAAAAATAAGAAAAGGTTTTGTAAGAGGTCAAATATCACCACTTTGCCTTATCTTCGTAATTCATAAGATCTGTGCATCCAATTGAAAGTAAACTGTTTGTTTCTGCTTAAATTTCTCCCCAAGACTAAATGCTGGTATTGAACGTCTGCATATCAAACAATGATAATGAATTAATGTCTGTCCAAAGCAATATATGGCTAAGAGCATCAAAATGCAAAAATGTAATATATTCATGCATATGATAAAGCTAACAAGAAAACCAATATCCACTGATCATTGAACATTTGTCAACAACTGTTTAAAGAATCCAACAAAAGGGATCCATTTCCTGTAGATTTTGGGATAATGATATTCCGATTCAGGAAAATAATGTGAATATTCAGTTGCTTAAAAAGCATAAAAATATCTAGACAATTTAAACATGGACAAATTTGAAGAAGTTGAATCTAAATCAATCATATATAGAGATATTGGTTTTCTTTTAGCCTTATACAGATGGTAAATAAATGAATAAATAAAAAAATCAAGTTGAATAAAATAAAATGGTATCTGCATACTATTTTCATTCTTCTTTCCTTTCAATCAAAATTAAATCATATTTCAAATAAAAACTCTCTTATCTACGAAGGATGATGTTTGTAAATTAATATTAGAGTTTCCACACTTTTTCTCTACCTATCAAAGCAAAATAATTTGACAGCAGAATGAATCTAGAACTAGTCAATTTGAGATTGGAAAGCCGTGGATATGCTATGATCTGCCAAAAAAAAATCATGCACACAAATTGTCTATATGATCATGCCTTGAATGCACAACAACAATGAAATTTATGATAATCAAATAAAATGGTGTGCACAATTCCATATCACCTACCGATTCCACCTCAATACATTGCTTAGTTTCAGTGCATCTAGTGTTGCATCTTGCTCACAATCTAAATTTGTCTTACATCCATTTTTATGAATTAAGTGTCTTAAGCAGGTTTTTTTTTTTTTTTTTTTTTTGGGGGGGGGGGGGGGACAAAGAATTTCTATCAGAGGATTATTATCGTTGATCCTCATCTTCAAGAGCTCCCTTTATTTATTTGTCACTTATATTGAACCCACAGCAGAACAGTGTCTCCTTTTAGTGGTGTTTTGGTATTATCTGTTTATCCAGAATACTAGGAAACTACATGTACACATTGAACATGAGCAGAAGAAGCAAAAATCACAGCAAATTTGAATTCTGTTTCCAATGCAGTACATCGTGCCGTTCTTGGATAAGATCAATTTAAATGTTTCTAAATCATTATAGTCTCTAAATTGGCAATGTGGTGTAATATATAAAATCATTATTTCTGTGTAGAAATTGCCAAAATTTCAGTCAAATCTTTGTTGATTGTTGCCAATTTAAGGTGAGATCACTGATTAATTTAGAAGATAAGAAATCTCTGGACTGCTGTGGGTTAATATCAATGACTATTTCTGCTTTGGAGTCTTTTCTTAGAAAATCTTCATAATGAGATAAATATAATTCTATGACGTTTTTATCTTACCGTATCAGATGGCTTGTCTGAATTCCTTTGAACTTTCTTGAGTTCTGGTCTTTCACTGTTAAAACAAACAAAGTCAGAAGATATGTTCATCCAAACATCAGTGATTGTAATAGTAATAATGGTACATGTAGTAACATGTACATAGTGCTTAAAAGGGAAGTTGGTTTTAATAAAAGCAGAAAAATGAGAGAAATTAATAAGTGAAAGTTGGGAAATAGCCTATTAAAAAAAAGGAAAGTTATGAACTTTTGAAGTTTTCATCATTGGAACACAATTGGCAACACTGTGATGAAGCCGAGCGTGCCTGACAAGTCGCTCTGGTAATTAAGGAGCAATCAAACCAGAACCACAGTAAAGAAAATTAATTCCATCAAGAATCACTTTCCCTTTTCTATTATTCAATCAAAAGAATAGATGATATACTTTTAATTTAGAAGAAGGAATTTCGCTGACATATAAAGGAAATCAGTATTGCACATAGATACATATGCAAGGAAAAGGAAAGTGAGCATTATGAGTTCTAAAATCAAAAACTTACAATTTGCCTCTTGCTTCATTAGCTCGTACTTTCATATCTTCAATCTGTGAGGGGAGTAGAAGAAAAGCAGAAATGTAGATTGAGCTGTACAATTAGGAGTCTAATGCACTGGCATATAATTATCATTTACATCATCATAATCTTTTTCAGGACTCCTCAATCCTCCCTCTCTCTCTCACACATGGTGCATCAGCAAGCCTACTGTATATCACAATCCTTAACATTGTCATAATTGGTATCATTCAAATCCCCAAACAATGCCAATTCCATAGTTCTCGTATTGCTATCATCTACCTCATCACAAGTAATCATAACCATTGTCCTAATTATCACAACAATTATCAAAAACATCACACAATCATGACTATTATCATAATTAATGATACAAAATACACTCAAACTTGTCTATTAAAGGTACTATGTCCCTTTTGCAGCCAACCTCAAATGCTGTAGAACTTTGCAGGAATTATGAATATGTCATGTATGTCCTATCTGTGAAATTTAAACGTTAGCAGTGTCCTCATATTCAAATTATGCAAGGAAACCCGTTTACTTGCTAGACTTCACTGTCAGACACTATTGAGTGACCGACTGGCTTTTTTTCTTCTTTGGTAATAACATACATGAAAAGATTTGTAAAGGGTACACGAGCATTTGTCTACATCAATTACCCACTTCTTGTGATGGCCAAGATTAAACTGATTGAATCTTTGCGCAGCATAAAACGTATGACCATTCGGTACAATTGTCCGAAAATCAAGACTATTACTTTTGGGCTCTATAGCCCTAAAGTCGATTTGACAACTAATAGTCGTTATTTTGCCACTTGAAGACATTTTCAAGCCCCACTTTTTTTAAGGAAGTTCTAAATTAGTATGATCTTTCAAATGCAGTTGGAATTTAACTTTTTCATTTTTTTGGCCTGCAAATGGGACATAGTCCCTTTAAGGCCACCCAAGGGAAACAGAAAAATTGGAAACTATAGAAAGGTGGCTTACTAGACAGATTCTGCAACACACATTTCGCCCTCGAGGGAGACAAATGCATGACCATGTATATAGGCAGGTTGCAATAACAATGAAAACCAATCACTTTAAACTCTCCCCAGAACTCAACCTTCTCTTTAAGATTAAAATTCAGATTTAATTCATCAAATCTAATAACAATGCTTACATGTAATTAACGTCATCATCATCAATTTCAATGGCGTTCTATTGTTCCATATCACAGTCAATATGAAGAAATTTTAAATCAAATTCATCACTGAATCTTACATTATTATCAGGTACCTGAATGCTATAATCCTCATCACAAATTGGTTCTATATCACGATGAATAAGAAGACAATTTCCATTTTTTAATACATGTGACCCAACTTACCTCTAAATCCTGTTTGCGTATAATTACTTCCAGGTCAAACTTGTTACCCTCAGCGTCTGTTAGTTGTTCGGTAAGTTCTTCGCAGAGTGCACGGAGACGATCACGTGACAGCGAGTCGATGCTGAGCGGTTTGACGTTCTCTTCAACGTATTTGTTCCTCATCTCGGCTTTCTGTTCTGCTTCAACCTTCAAGTCTGTCTGAGCCTTCTTCATCATCATTTGCTGTGGATAAACACATGTTCAAACAATGCAATCATATTCAATATCATGCAATCAAGTTCAAGATAATGCAATCAAGTTCTACACATCATCTGTTCAGCGCCAGAAGGGTGTTTACTCTGTGTTTAAGTATATGAGTTAATGCCCTTCTGACTCAAAAGATACAACGTATTGCTATAATTATAAAACAATTTTCTAAACAATGCAATAATTTTTTGAAGCAAAGAAATCATTGTAAAAATAAGGAATTCATGTTCCTCATAGTAATGGTGTCTTCTTATTCAAATTAGTGCAATCAAGTTCAAGGAAGGTAAAAACAATCTCAATAATGTATTCAATTTGCAGAATGGAATACAATACAATTTTCCAGATGATGCATTCAATTTAACCCCAGCCCCCCCCCCCCCTAACAAAAACAAAAAGTTACAAAATCCATGGTCTCATGATTTAGATAACATAATTATTTCAAAAACTCTCTATTCTATGCAATTTGTCGAAAATAATATAATCAACTATGGACATATTAAAGATGCTGGACATCTGTGCGTCTCCTTTAATACATACTTTGAAATTCCAATATACAAGATCATTTTATCCCTATCATATGTTTATGCATTTCTGATTAAGCAACTAGACATCAACACCCTATAATTTTTTTAGAATTGGACAAGCGCCTATATATTTGATTACTGCACAAATTTGGAGGTACAGATTATACAATAACAATCCAATATTGAACCATATTATAATTGAATGGATAGAAATCCAGATGATAATGATGACCAAGATACCATGGATGAAATCACCTCATAACCATGGCAACCATTCTTACCATGATATTTTTCTTTCTGCCAGCAGTGAGTTTGCCCAGCTTCCCGCCAAGCTTAGGCTTAGGTTTAGCGGGGGCTGCAGCAGGGGCCGCATCGGCGGCGGGGGCAGCGGGGGCGTCATCTGACTTTGCTTGCTAGAGGGGAGTAGCAGAAGCATTAATGAGCAAAGAGAGAGAGAGGGGGGTGAGAGAGAGGCCATCAGTTTGTTTCAGCTTTTGCCATCATCATCACTCACATTTTTTTTCTTTTTCACACAAATGCCAAATGTCATTAAATTTAGCAGAGCTGAGTAAAAAAAAAAGGAGCAATGTATAGCTTTCAAACAAATTGCTGGTTGAAATTTACATTTAGCATTTGTTCATGATTTCACAACTAGTTTTATTTGGATGAAAGAAATGCTAGCAAAATTATTGTTAATCACTTCATCTGTTTCATATATTATGGCATATTTATTATAATTAATAATCCACTATATTTGCTATCAATAAATGTAAATGGCATGATCATCTTTCATAAGTAAAACAGCACAAGATTCCAAACATTTGCAGTAACTTGATTATAAAGAACTTTTGGACAGGATTAGTTTGCCGTTTGTAGAGTTTTTCTGGATTTGAACAATCTGTCCTTGGTAGGCCTGCATCTGGCCAAAAGTCTATGAAAATCTAGGCTGAAAGCATTCATTTCATGTTGGCAAATTGCAACAGTAATTAGTTAAGCATCTATATAACCATCTTGATTACATTGCTTTTGTTAATTACATCGAAAGGATAGCTTGTTCGACCCATCATGTGAAAGAGGACGATACCAAATATTGCAATCATAGAAAATTAGTAATTTGATTCATTACAACCTCTTTGGATTACCTTTAGTTGGCATCAATGATTGTATGAAATAGGTGTATTAAACAGAAAACAAGAGATATTACAGACAAACAGTAAATAGTTATTGATTAATATTATTAAGCTGATTAGCCTTTCTTTAGTCCCATTGTGATGTCATCAATTTGGTTAGTTAGAGAGACTAATGACATAAGCTTTGATCTTACTGATAGTCTGGTTGAGCTAAACAGAAGAAAATAATTTGTTGGCCAATTACTGACAGTCTTTAGGTAATTGAAAGTCAGAAATATAAAGAAGGATAACATTTAGAAGTTTTATGCCCTGTTATAAAGTCATTTAGTGCACATAGAGGTATGAATGGGGGATATAGAGAAGGTATGAATGAGGGATAGAGAGAAGGTATGAATGAGGGATAGAGAGAAGGTATGAATGAGGGATAGAGAGAAGGTATGAATGTCATTCAATATGTACCTCTCCAGCTTTCTTCTTCTTCTCAGCTGCTTCCTTTTTCTGACGTTCCTAGAACACAACGTTAGTAAACACGATGTTAGAAGTTAGATTGATGGAAACATGGGATTTATCAGTAGATAGAATAACATGTGAATTGTTAGAAGACAAGAACTGAGGAATTTCATTACATCACCGAAAGAATTTTATACGTGAGAACATGACAGATTTATTATTTTCATTGATAGAGACAAATATTCTCAAATTCATGATTACTGTTACCTTCAAATGAAGGGGATTCACAAATAGATTTCAAAACCAACAAACTCAATTCGATGAAAAAAAATTGTATACCAAATATAAATCAGATTTACATTAGAAGACAAATATATCACAAAAGATATCACACATTTTGGTACAATATATACCATATTTGGATATATTAATATTGAAAAGAAGGGAAAACAAATTAAAACATGTTAACAATATTTTGTGAACAATAAAACCATTTCCACTTAGAAAACTGACATAAGAATATATGCATGTATAAGTAAACAATACCAATAATAACAATTTTTCATATAAGTGCATATTTGCAAAAAAGTGCAAATTTGAATAGTGAAAGAAAACAAACTGAAATGCAACTATGAACATTGTGGAAAAATGTGCTTGAACCAATACATATTAAAACAAAATGCTTAAAAAACAAAGACATAGGATATAGCCCTGAAAACCACATGATCACAAAAACACAGACATTTCCGAAGATAACAATGACATACAAACTATAAAGCAGATAAGCACTACTAATTGCAACAAAGAAAGTGCCCAGAACAACATTACATTTTATTCCGAAGTAAGACAACTACTCAACACAATACGTATAACTACAGCTGCACACTAACCAAAGGTCTATGGAGTACAGAAGCCGTGACATCCTAAAAATCTATTTTTAAAATTTCTTAATTTGAACTTCATTTTCCGAAAGAGCATCATAAATAATGTCCAAAGGTCAAAAACCAATTGAATATGTTAAGTATTGGCTGAGATATGACCATCCAAATAAATAGAGTTCAATAGAAAATCACTGATGCTCTTTCAGAAAATAAAGTTCAAATTGAGAAATTCTAAAGATATTTGTTTGATTATGTCACACTTGACCACTCTATAGTTACAAGTGCAACAAACTTGTAAAAGTCTATATGAGCACAAGACAAACACGTAACATGAAAAACAATCCAATGAATGAAGGATATGTGATGGATTTCATCAGTTCCACATGTTCAGAAGGCATGGCCCAGGGGTGTTTCAATGTCAGTTAGAGTGTATGAAAAATTGTCAACAAGATTAACTTTTGACTTTAAAGTGCTTTTATAATATATAAAATATCTTCACTGGGAATAAACAAAAGCATCCAAAACCACTTTTGAATAAAAGTCTAGCACCTTTTACTTTTAGAGCAAATGTATTGTTTAAAAGCTCAAATCTTGGGCAGAATTTGACGCTAAAAGCAAAGAAGGGGCTAAAAGGATTGTTAAAGTTTCCCTACTTCAATTTCCTTGTGCAAAACATGTAATCTGCTGATAGTCAGAGAGGTGCCACTGATATATTTTTTAGTTTCAAACCTTCTGACTCTCGGAAGATAACGTGCAAAATATATTAGCTTTCTAAAACCATGTCCCACACTAAATTCTACCTGCAAAGAGTGATGCATTTACAATCACGACATGCACCTGAAAAAGGAGGAGAAATGAATGGAGAAAGATATACAAATGAAATCTGGATGCAGCTATAATCAAAGCAGGCATAAGAAACAACGAGATGCAGGCTATAATGAAGCTAGAAATATGCGAAATGGTCTAGTGCAAACTATAGAGGGCGTGGTTTACCTCCTCGGCTGCTTTTCTTTTCTTCTCCTCTTCCTTTTTCTTTGCTTCTTCTTCTTTCTTTTTCCGCTCCTAGTCATCAGGGGAAAGGTTAAAGGTTAAAGGTTAGAAATATATACTGGTTCTGTCGCCGGAATATCATCCTGATCTAGTATCAGAAATGTTATTAAGTGAGTGTCATCATATCAGGGGTTCATTTAGAGTTAGGGAAGATATCAAGTATTCCAAAAGTATCCATCCATGAATACATGAATGATTATTGTTAAAGTGCATGTTTCATGTCATATTTCTAATAATATTCTCAAAATATGTTTCACCCTAAAACAAGTTCCTAATCAAGTTTCATATTGTGTTAAAATCACTTTTCAAACGATTATTTCAGTTTTCAGGTCATCAAAAAGAATTGTAGTCATATTTCACCTGATTTCACTTATATTCTATCACAGGACTAACAAGTATTATGGAAATCTGTAACAACTCATCACAACGAAATACAGAGATAAACTTATAACGGCTCATAAACCGCAGCGTTTTGGGGATGATGACGTAGGGTGTAATAATTATGCTTCACATTTCTGAATCTTATTTATTTATTCATTTCTACATGGTTCAACAGTTATGAACATCACGGTATCTGAGCAAGCCTTTACCGTGGTAAACTGTAAGAAAAGGCAGAGGTATACTTAAAGTCTACATTATATGAGTGAATTACATTTTTCCAGTACATCAGCCTAATGAATCACATTAATCACATCAAGCTGACTGGAGTTCCAGAAGCTGATATCCATATATGTACAATAGACTCAACCAACATGGGAACTAACAGACGAAACCACTATGGATGGAGAATGGTTTACACCCATAACAAACAAACTCATCACTAACAGGGGAAACCATATGAATGAGATGCGGTCGGATGATATTAGATGGGCATGTTTGAACAAGTAAATGAGGATGGCAGACATGGTCAGTTAGTTGAGGGAATGGGTAAAAAACAAGATGATAATACTCATGTGTTAGGAGCCAAAGAGTTACTATCTCTGTAAAAAAGGAATTAATTTAACGCCCTCCTGGCCCTATTTTCTAAACAAGATGATACGTTATTAGAAAACCATTGCCTAACTCAAGACATTCCTTTCTTTTAACCTCCTTGTAAACCATAATTTTGAAAAGAATTTGACTGTAAGTTTCAGAATTTAATTTTTTTTAATTCACTGTCTCTCTGGGAATTGAAGTACCTAAATTTCCAATGAAAGAAATATGAGTTTATGTAAAGAAGTTCTATGAATCAAAGCAGACTTTGAAAATGGACATATTTGTCACTAACAGCTTGGAGGCAAAATAAGCTTTTCCTCATCAATGAAGGCTGGGAAAGAGACATTAATTGGAGAAGGTTACCAAGACGGGGTTATTACCGTAAGTTTCAGCAAGGGAGAACTGATATATAATTTATTCCTGGAAATAATGCTAATTTGACAAAATTGCGATTGCAAAAAAGCATTCCCTACATTTATGACTTTGAAATTATCCTTTAACAGATTTACTTCAGATTCTGCTTGACTATGAAAGATGATCAATATCTTGTCCTCTTTTTTCTTTCGTTAATTTTTACCTGATCTGCTTTTTTCTTGTCAGCCTCAGCTTTCTTACGACGTTCCTAGTACGGTGATGAGTTAGTAAGATGAGAGACAAGGTGATGAGATGAATGAACGATCAAACGAACAAATAAAAGAATGAATGAATATACAAACGAATGAATGAATACATGAATGTACAAATGAATGTACTCTCTAAAAAAAATTGAGTGATCCCGGACGTCACTCCTCTGGAGAGTGAAAATGTAGTGAAAATAGAGTGAACATTCAATCTTTTCTTCTTAGAGATCGATTTTTACTCCTAAACAAGTGATCACGGACGTCACTCCCAAGAAAGTGAAAATTCACTCTTTTTTTTCAAGAGAGT